ACAGAAACCGTGGTAGAACCCATGTCACGGGCACATTCTGTCAGCTGTCAGCCACAGTGACCACAAACATCCCATATTTATCGGATCTGCTTGCTTACTTATTCATACAACACTTAGAAATTGACTGACTTTGAATTGGGAAACAAAGGGCTCTAGAAAACTTTGAAATAGCTGTCCCCCCATTAGCTTTTCCCTTCACTCACCCCTTTACCATAAAGGCTTTAGCAGCCTCCCATTATGTGTCCAAGAGTCTCTAAACCTCTCACAGTGGACATAAGTTGCCTGAGGCATTCTTCTACCGAAAGCGTTCTAATCCATTGCTGCACAGAATTAAAAGAAGCCCCCAGTGGGAACGAAGACAATCTTTATATAAGTGGAGGCCCTCTCAGGGCCTGAGTTGATCCTCCACAGCCAGCATCCTGTGTTTCCTTGGGTCCTGAATGCAGGACCCCTCAGGTTCTAATCAGAGGCCTTTGCATTGAAGAGATATGGGTACTTAGAGGATAGATCCAAAAATGTTGCTTCTGGCACATCCTTCATAGAGGAGGAAGTGTGTTTCCCTTTCTCTGATTGACATACTCCCTTGTAGGGGGTGTCACTTCCTTTTCAGGCACAATGGCCACTCTGGGAGTCATATACATTATAGACAGTGTGCTGCCATCACACCTGATGGAGTCCAGTACAGAGATGCTGTATTCATTTCCTAGCTCAAACAGGCCATCTTGAATCAAAGATTGGACCCAAGTATCAGATCAGATCAGATCATATCCCAAGATATGCTAGGAATAGAAAATTCCCTGGCCAAGAATTGAACTCGTGTGCTCATTTTTACAGATCATTTGGCCATTGGCAGTGGTCTAGCTGTCTCATCCCATCATTAATAACAACCCTTATCCAAGGTCAACCCTATGGCATAAAGGACTCTGGGAATATTTTGCCAAACAAGAACCAAGTACAAATGAGGTCACTCTTTCTCTGCACATATCAACCCTCAGTCTGCAGAGGCTCATGTCATTGCTCGGGGTGATAAATTGACCCACATTTCTGAGACACACACCAACACCTCAGACCTGATATTAACCTTGGACATTTGATCCAACAGAATACAAAACCATTTGGAGACCTCTAACCTAAAGGTTTAGGGAAAATTCAAGAGACTTCCTTGCTCTGCCATGGCTACCTTAGTGACTGACAAAAGCAGCTAATGTGAAAAAATAAGTTGCTGGTAATATAATTGAAGGACATATTTTCCAGGCTAAGGAGGAGGTACCTACAGCTGAAGGTGAATAGACATTGTAGGGCTCCTCACCCACTGTGTTGGGGCACTTGCTATGCTCAGACCATGGTAGAAACTTGTACAGAAAAATTACTCATGCTATCATACATCACCTCCTGAAACCAAATGCAAGCACTCACCAAGTTACTTCCCTGGAAATTATTGATAATATCAGCTCATTTACCAAAATACAGAACACTGGGCTCTTGAAAAAGGTATTCGGTGGACCTTCTACCTCATACAACCCTGGGCTACCCCCTCATAGGATGGCCTAATGGCTGACTTAGACAAACCTTGCGTTCTTCTAAATAGGTCTTCCTGCTGTTGGAGTCATCAGTTAGATTCAATGACCAGTCTTTAGGGCCTATTTGTTCTGATCATCAGGCTTCCTGGCAACTTCTAAGTAGGGCCTTTATATACTGGACTTTCATGTCAGAATGTGCACCACCACAGGTCTTTCGTTTTGTAATAGTGCACCCTGGCCACCTCTCATAACCCACTCCTGGGCCTCCTCCTAAAATCATCCATAGTCTGTGTACCCTGTGTGTCAATAGTTGATTTTGCTCATACTCCCTACCAACCCTTCCAGCCCATTGGAACACAAATGTGCTGTTTTCCTACCATTTGCGCACATGTGCTCATTGTCCTTGGTCACTGGTCCTGTCCTGGGCACACATGATGTCACTCAACAAATGCATCCTTAATGCCAATCAAGAAATATCCAAAACATTCAAAATACATGTAGCAGACAGCTAATGTTTGAGATGTTTTCCATGCAGGAAAACTCCCTGGCAGCCATGGTAGCTGATGACAACTTGGGTTTGGACTATGTAGTAATCAGCCAGGGAGAGTTCTGTTTCCCTAAAAGGACTGCTTGCTACATGTGGGCAGGCTTCACTGGCAAGGTGCCACCAATACCACAACAAATGAGACAAGAAATTAAAATAAACAGTAACATTAGTAAAATATCTGACCAGAGTTCTGGAACCACACTGACACACTTTCCTGACTCTCTCCAACACTTTGGAATGGTTGGCTTCCAATGTGTTTTTGAGGCTTTGTCATCCTATTTATGTTTCTTGTGTTTTTTCACATGGCTTTTTAATTAATATTCAAATCAAATTCATTTAAATGAGATGTGTCATTAGTCAATGAACAATGAGTGAACTTTAGTAAAGACACTGACCTCGTCGTTATTTGACTCAATCGGCTTTAGATACCTGCTCGTCCTGCCTGGTCCACAATGGTAAACAGCTTACAAGGGTTCACATGCCACTTTTCTTTGTGTCCATGGGTAGGAGGTTCAAACCTTTAAAGCCTGCAACTTCTACCTCATACTCCTTAAGGGCCAACCCATTGTCCTTTGGGCAAACCACCTCAACCAGCTTATCGCTGCCCTACTCTCCTTAGAAAGGACCTGTGAGTAATAAACATATTTCCAGTCACTTGACGCATGTGGCAACATCAGTCTTGCCATCCAATCCAGTGTTAGGTAAGGTGTCAATCCCGCCCCCAAAAAGGCCATGATATGACAAGAAGTAACCTAGCAAAAGTCTTTTGGCTGATGCACAGGTATTCAGTGTAGGGAATTTTTATAAGAGGAGAAAAAGGAATCCAAATGCAGAGATCCGTATATGGCAATGATTTACATGCATTGGTCACCAAATAAAC